AAAAAAAAATTCTAGATTCAAAAGTGAAAAAATCTAGAGAAATGGTTTTTAAATGCTTACACTATTATGCCTTTCCATACCAATCAGACAAGCCATGTTATTCTGAACTGCCATTGTGGATAGGGCTTGAGTCTCATGCTAAATTATGTTGAATTCTGTAGGGAGGCATTCTATATGGGTACAGTAATTGACAGATGGGTAAATACTACTTTTAAACTCTTATTTTCTTAGTTTACTGTACACTTATTTAAATATGTGGCTATGGTCAGAGAAACAGGAAGACAAGTGTGGAAATATTTTTCTTACAAGCCCAATCAATATCTAACCAAGAGCCAGTCTAATTTTTGGGAAATCATTATGCAAGTGGTCTTGATCAAGGTCACCTGCTCTGGCTGCCTAACATTGACTGGGTTCTTTAGTTTACTTATATCATGTGTATAAATAATACAAGGACCGCAGGGCTGTCTCACAAGTACCTATCAAGGAAACAACTTCCTTTTTCCCGTTTCCATTTGCTGTATCTTAAACAGATTATTTTGGTATCTGAAGGCCTACTATGTTGCTTCCATACAACTCTCCCCATGTAGGACTAACATCAAAGCATACACATGAAGGCCAGGGATGAGGCAATACAACATACCAGTAGACAGACAGGTAGAACTACATAAGCCAAATGCCTTAGGGTAACATGGCTGAAAGAGGCATATGATTCCAAAGGATACAAAATGCAGCTTCTAAGATCATCTTCCTGGGTCCATTATCCTCCTCCTGTTTCACTGCATCAAAGTCAAGCTTCTTGTCCTCACCTTCCAGAACCTTCAGAATTCTGCCCTAGCTATGTGCTTTCGCTTGTCTCTCATCACATTAAACACAGCTTCTCTGTTCTGTTAACTATGCTAGTCTTGTTTAGCCATTTGTCACCTTCTTATATATGGATATATGCCTCCACACCTCCTTCCATGCTGCCTCTTACATGTGGAACTTATTCTTTGAGCTGATCCCATAAGGCCACAGATTTCTCATCAAGTCCCAACTCTGCCCTGACACTTAAATCAGTTATTAATTATGACTCAGTTGAATGGCAGATGAGAATCATTGGCACTTACTATACAATAAAAAATCTGCAAATATATGTATGTACATCAAAATTGTATATATTTGATTTCTGTATCCCTCTCCCTTTACCCATCATATCCCACTTGAAATCTTAGATTATGAACTCCTTGGAGCAGGGAGCATTACTATGTGTTTTTGCCCTGCTAGCATTAGGGGACAAAATCCTAGTAGAGGCCTTTGGGCACTACTATTATATAAATGTTCAATTACATTTTTAAAAATTACATTCAGAGAACTTTAAGGTTGCACTATCAAACACTCGGAAGTTTAGGAAATGCCAGAACGAAGAATAGTTGTGCAACCTTAATTCAGCCCCTTTGTGCATATTCATTATAATACCACCAGTGGACCAAATTTGATGATGAATCCTGAAGCATATTGATCATATGCTAAGAAGATTATAATAGTCTTCAACTGTATGATCACATTTTTTTTTCCCCACAGACCCTCAGCCTTATTCAAAGTACAGGATGACTGGTGCTCTGGAGATGAGCCAAGGTTGTGGCGTGAATGAGGCTATTGTTTGTAGGATCCCTTCCTCATTTGTTGCATAAGTTGGAAAGAGTGTAGTGAATGAAGCAGGGAACTGCAGGAAGAGAGAGAATGAATTTGTGATTAAGGCAGCTGAATGCTACTCTGGGATTGGATTCTATCTCTGCTACTGCCACAGGATTCCTGTGTCATGTGCAGCAACTCTCATAAGCCAGATTTTTCACAGGTGGTCATTACTTGTTTGTTCCTCATTGTTTGGTGTCTAACTTAACATTAGGGGCTTGATTTGCAAATATATATATATATATTTTTAAAGGCAAATTGAAAACATAGAGATTTAATTGTTGAGCCAGATGGGTGGTCTGAAGGGTTGGAAACTTTACCTCCACATCAGAGACCACTACCTCTAGAGCTAACAAAGTAACTGGTAGCAATCATAGTAGTATGCTGTGATTCTCTTTGTGGAGCAGCCACTAGGTGGGATTGAGACACACTTTGAGTGGGTTTCAAAGATTTTTCCTGGCTAACAGAGGAATGTTGAGATTCAATAATCCTGCATTTTATTCCAGGGTCAGGATGGGTATATGTTCTTACGGTTTTCTTTACATGACACTCTTATTTCTGACTCTTGCATTTGAGTCTTGTTGCTTTCTCCTTCTCCATGGTGCCTGTGCTGGGCAACAGCAGGGG